TATCGCTGCGGCACCGCCCACTCCCTCGCTCGCGCGCAATTAGGCAACCGCAGTCAACATGCTGCACCGCCTCCCCACTGTCTCCTCTGTAGTCGCTCACCCGGTGGGTTGCTCAGTCACTCACTAGGTCCAATCCTGCGTTGCCGAGCCCTCCTTTGCAACTCCTCACCAGACGCCGGTTTCGCCCCTTACCGGTCGGGCTGAAGAATTTGTTGTTAGCGGACTTCCGAAAAGTTCAGTTTTCCATGTTCTGGTTGTGTTTTCTGATGCTAATATTTAGTTGTCCCTAAACTTGGTTGTGTGAGAAGGCACGGCACATCCACCTATACCTCCATCTTGGCGGAAGTCCCTCCAGATCTTGACTATTGTAAACAATGCTGCAATCCACTAAGTGTGCATATAGTCATTTGAATTAGTGTTTTGAGCACCTTTCGAAATTATACATATATGGACCTATGCAGTATGTATTCTTCATTTTTGTATGGCTCTTTTAAAATAGCCAATTCTATATTCTGAATATGTGCACTTTATATTATGTCATTATATGACAATAAATTATATTAAAAAGTCTCATCTCATGGTTACATCACAAACACAGTAGCTGAGTCACATTTTATCAGGTGTTGCAGGTATGTCTTCTAATGGGTAGAAAGCAAAGTGTCATATATGGGTAGAAGTAGTGGGATTAAGTTACAACTATTCCTTCTTGGGTCCAGCTTCTTTGGGATTCTCTGAGCTTCCTGGATTCCCTGGAAGTCTATTTCCTTTGCCATATTGGGAAAGTTCTCCTTCATTATTTGTTCAAATAAATTTTCCACTCATGGCTGTTCCTCTTTCCCTTCTGGTATCCCTATAATTCAAATATTGGAACATTTAAATGTATCCTGGAGGTTCCTAACCCTCTCCTCATTTTTTTGAATTCTTGTTTCTTCATCCTTTTCTGTTTGGTCATTTTTTCCCTCCTTCTGGTCCACTCCCTCGACTTGAGTCCCAGTTTCCTTTTTATTACTATTGGTTTCCTGTGTATTTTTCTTCATTTCAATTAGTTTAACCTTCATATGTTCCTCTAATTTGTGACTAAAATCAACCAGTTCTGTGAGGATCCTGATCACCAGTGTTTTGAACTGTGCATCTGAGAGTTTGGCTATCTTCATTGCTTAGAGTTATTGGCTCTGGGGCTTTGAGCTGTTCTTCTTGAGCCATAATGTTTTGCTCTCTTTGTACCTGTTAGATATGAGGAGCAGAGCCTTAGATGTTCACCAGGGTGGGGCCACCCAGGTCGCTGTTTTGTGGTGCTGTATGTGGGGGCGGGGTCAGAGAGGGATAATAGCGGTCCCCTTTGCTGCTTCCTGCTGCTGGTGCCTGTGTGGTCTGTCTCAGTCTGACTGCTCACTCCTTCACTGCTATCTGCGTGCAAGTGTGTGACCACGGTCAGCTCTCAGTGGGTCTGCCCACTGCCACTCCACACCTGGGATCTGCCCACTGCCTGTCTGCCTGGGTTGTGTGCCTGGGTCAGTCCAGTGGATCTTTCCTGCCCGACCCCACTTCACTGCTGGCTCTACCCCTCTTACCAGTTTGACTGAAGGGTTTGTTGTTGTCAGACTTCTGTATAGTTCAATTTTCTGTTATTTGGCTGCATTTTTGTTGCTAAAACTTTGTTGTTTTTAAACTTTATTGTGAGAGAAGGCAGGGTGTTTCCACCTACGCCTCCATCAATGAAGGAGAGAATCCTAGAAGCAGCAAGAGATAAGGGGACAGTCACCTACAAAGGACTTCCCATCAGACTGTCAGCTGATTTCTCAAAAGAGACCTTACAGGCAAGAAGGGGCTGGAAAGAGGTATTCCAAGTCATGAAACCCAAAGACCTACAGCCAAGATTGATCTATTAAGCAAAGCTTTCATTTAGAATGGAAGGGCAGATAAAGTGCTTCTCAGATAAGATCAAATTCAAAGAGTTCATCATCACCAAGCCATTATTTTATGAAATGTTAAAGGGACTTATCTAAGAAAAAAAGATAAAAAAGATGAACAGTGAAAGAACAGCAAACTCACAGTTATTAAGAACCACACCTAAAACAAAAGCAAACTGAGAGGACAGCTAGACCAGGAGCAGAACCATAGAAATGAAGATCACATGGAGGTTTAGCAACAGAAAAGTGGGAGAAGGAGAAGGGGGGAGAAGGTACAGAAAATAAGTAGCATAGACAGTAGATAGAAAATAGATAGGGGGAGGGCAAGAATAGTAGGGGAAATATAGAATCTAAAGAACTTGAGACACGTGGTCATAAACTAAAGGGGTGTAATGGTGGGGGAGGGGGTGTGCTGGGTGGAGGGGAATGAAGGGTGGGAAATAGAAGAACTGTAATGGCATAATCAATAAAATATATTTAAAAATTACAGTTATTATGTTTGATAATCTCTTTTTTGTAAACAGATGTTCAATGTACATATACAGCTAAGATCACATAAATTGGTTCAAGACAGGTGCACTACGGACTCACACAGTATCAATAATGAGCCATAGACACACAATGCAGAGACTCACAGCTAAGGCAGACTCAGGATATCTGAGCAGACATCAAATCAACTTTCATCATATAATCCCATTCAATAATAAAGATGTTATAACAAGCCATTCTATTTAGGATGCTTGTTATGCAGCAATAACTGGTATAATAATGAGGCAAACAGCACTAAAGGCAGTTATAATAATTGTATTTTTTAAATTTTATTTTAATTGTTGTTCATGTACAGTTTTCTGTCTTTTATTCCCACCCCTGCCCACCCACCCAGCCCTCCCCACCTCCCTCCACCCCCCTAGTTTTTGTCCATGTGTCCTTTATACTAGTTACTGTAGACCCTTCCCCTTTTCCCCTGAAATTTCCTCCCCTCTCCCCTCCAGTCACTTTCAGACCTTTCTCTATTTCAGTGTCTTTGGTTGTATTTTGTTTGTTTGTTGTTTAGGTTTTTAAAGGTGAGATCATATGGTATTTGTCTTTCACCACCTGGCTTATTTCCCTTGGCATAATGCTTTCTAGTTCCATCCCTGCTGTCTCAAAGGGTAGGAGCTTTTTGTTTTTTTCTGTTGCATAAAATTCCATTGTGTAAATGTACCATAGTTTTTTGATCCATTTATTTACTGATGGGCACCCAGGTTGCTTCCAATAATTGTGTTCTTTATATTTTACATATGTTCTGATATTTGGGACAGCCTTTGTGATTATTTTGGTATTCAAATTCATTGCAAATAATTGTATTCATAGGTGACTGTGTTGAGGTTCCCTTGTCAGAGTCCCTAAAAGGTTGCAAACTATGCACCTTTGTGCAGAAAAACTGGTGATCCTGAATCATGTGACCAGGCAAGATTTCAGCCTCTCTTATGAGTCATTTTTAATTATGAGAAGAGATTCCTGAGCATGAGAGATATATACAATAGATAATCTGGAAACTTTATATTTATTGTTCCTTTAGTAGTTAAGACAAAATTTAGAAAAGAAGAAATATTTTGCTTAGAGTCATAATTGTAGGCAGCACTGGAATTTTCAAGCAGAGAAAGAAATACAATTTATTAAAGAGGTAAAATATACTAACCAACAACTTACTCCAATGCAGAAAGCCCCTTACACTTGGGCATCATTCTTCCATACTTCCATGAGTATAGCAATACTTTGTACATTAATAAAATTAATGATTAACAATTTTGTCTCATCATACTTCAGGTCACCTCTGACACTAAGGTCATATTAGGTTAATGAATCAAATCTTGTTGCCCATGTAGACTTCACTGTGGGTATGTATGTGATGGTCAATATCTTTCAGTGCTTCCAGTGGGCATTGAAATACTGAGCTGATTAAAACAATGAAAGCAGGAGAGCAGCTATGAAGCAGAGTGGCATGTTTGTAGAGTAAGTGCCTGTCAGGAAACTTTTGATTTCCAAGGCTTCCACTTCAAAGATAACCATGTTGAAGAAACATGTGGCCAGCTTTCTGACACAGCAGCTAGCTAAGCACACTGGCCCACTGCCCTGTGAAGGACCCCTTACAGAAAGCCCTGGAGAACTTAGACAACTGACCTGGGCAGTGACCACTGTTCACTTTTTACACCTTGACACCAGCTATTAAGTTTTAAATTCACTGATAAAAACTGAAGCTTTGAAACTCTATCCATCCTGCCCCCAGACCTGAATAAATGCAAAGCCCACAGTAATATCTTATTTCTCTCTCTTCTTCCCCTTCTCTCCCATCACCTCATGTGTGGACCTTAGGCACTCCATGTACCCTTCAACCCCTGAGTAATCTTTTACCAGGTTCTCTGTTGTTTGGCTGAGAAGTCTCATGCAATCATAATAACCGACAGGCCTGATCCAGCCACAATGTTGGCTCATGTTGGTGTCACGAGAACTCAGGGCCCAGGTGACTTTGCCAGGCATTTAGTGTGAATACCTGCAATTTCAGTATGCTGAGACTTAAACTGAACAGTGTTTAAAATCTACATTGTTATGAGGAGTACTTAAGTTAGTGATGTAAAGGTCAATGACAGACACAAAATGAAAATTGCTTTTATATTTTCCTGTGCAATGAAATGAATGTCCTTAGATGCCAAGTGTAGTTTTGTCCATCTGAGTAATACAACTGTGATCATACTTTGAGATAAACTAAAGGAAAATTTCTTGGCATGATATATGTTATTTGAGAAGAAATTATTTTAGAGAAATCCAAGTTTTAGCATGAAAGATATGGAAATTTCCAAATATTTCTGATCCAAGGTTGAGAAAGACTTTCAGAATGTTAATGGTCAAAGAAAAAACTTTCCGCCCAATTTACAGAAGCTTAGCCAGTTAGTTATTTAAATAGTTAGAGAACATGAATACAAGGAAATGGACCTGCCAGGAAATAAAGAGAAGAAACCAGTCTATCCCATTGGATCAGTTACAGCTTGTGGTTCTGAGACACTGAACTTGTAATCAAGGTCACATTTTGAGCCTCAGAACAATTGTCCCTCATTTATCTGCCATCCCCAAAACTCTTTTCAGAGCCCCCTTTATGTCTTTGTTCCTGAGACTGTAGATGAAGGGGTTCAGCATGGGTGTGACCACAGTGTACATCACTGAGGTGACTGCAATGGACTGTGAGCTGTGAGTACCAGCAGAGCTGAAGTTTACACCTAGGACTGCACCATAAAATAAGGAGACAACGGAGAGGTGAGATGCACAGGTGGAAAATGCTTTATACTTCCCCTGAGCTGATGGGATTGCTTGTATGGAGGACACTATCTTAGAGTAAGAGTAAAGGATCCCAGCCAGGGGACCAACACCCAGCATCCCAGTGGCCAAATACATCACCATGTCATTAAGAAAGGTGTCAGAACAGGCAAGTTGAATCATCTGCTTAACTTCACAAAAAAAGTGGGGTATTTCCAAGTCTACCCTGAAGGATAGTCGCAACAACATTAAACTATGTAGCAGGGAATTCAGGGCACTCGTGATACAGGACACGAGAACCAGCAGTCCACAGAGCCGGGGGTTCATGATGACTGTGTAGTGCAGAGGGTGACAGATGGCCACATATCGGTCATAGGCCATCACAGTCAGGAGGAAGTGGTCCCAGGCTCCAAGTAGTATAGAAAAATACATCTGGGTAATGCATCCTGCGTAGGTGATGGCTTTGCTCTGTGTCTGGATGTTCACCAGCATCTTTGGGATGGTGGTAGAGGTGAAACAGATGTCTACCAAGGACAGGTTGGAGAGGAAGAAGTACATGGGGGTGTGGAGGTGGGAATCTGAGCTGACGGCCAGAATGATGAGCAGGTTTCCCAACACAGTGATCAGGTACATGGAGAGGAATAGCCCAAATAGGATGGGCTGCAGTTCTGGTTGCTCTGATAGTCCCAGGAGAAGAAATTCTGAAGTTGGGGTATTATTGCCTTGTACCATGTGGTGGAGGGGACTAGTAGGAAAGAAAAAAACTGGAGTGATTAATTCTTAAAAATATTTTATATTTATTTTTAATTTTTAGAGAGAGGGGAAGGGAAAGAGAAAGAAAGGGAGAGAAAAATCAATGTGTGGTTGTCTCTTACATGGCCCCCACTGGGGACCTGGCCTGCAACCCAGACATGTGCCCTGACTGGGAATCGAACCATGACCCCTTGGTTCACAGCCCACGCTCAATTCACTGAACTACACCAGCCAGGGCTAATTTTTATATGAATAGCAATCACACCAACATAGTTGAAAATCTATGACCATATTTTGTAGTAAAGTAATCAATATAAATTTTGGTACATATCATAACCTTCAAGGCACCCCCCCAAAATATCTGATTAGGAATTTCTGTCCTCAGAACTTTTTCCACAGGTTGTCATGGGTTACACAGTTTTAATGAGCAATGCTTTCATGTACTTGAGGAATGGTCATCGATATTCCACATATCTAGGGAAAGGGTATAGTTAGGGTGCTGAGAGAAAAAATTTTAGAACATAATGATAGTGAAAGAATATATTATATATATTGTACACCATGTTATACAGTGTCAGGTGAAGAAAAAGAAAATAGGAATAATGGAGTGGATGGGGGTGTGATATTTTTTAAACTATTCTTTCAGGTATCCCTGCAAATATGGTGACACCTGATTAGGGACCTCCAGGAAGACAGAATTTGAAACACAAGGAAATTGTGTGTGGGGGGGAGTCAGTGCAAAGGCCTAAGGATGATGACACTTGTTTCAGACATTAAGAACTCAGAAAGGACCCAGCATGGGGAGTAGTAGGAACAAGGGCAGAGCGATGAGAGATGCTGTCAGAGAATGAGGGGGAGTGAGGTGGTCTCCCTGCTGCTGCTGAAACTCAGAGACAGGAAGAATCCCTTGCTCACATACAGTTCCCTGCATTTTATTAATTTTATTTCTAAAAATCTTGTAAATAGTAAGAGATCTCCCTTTTATTTTCATGAGTTGGTTAATATTCTGGCACCTGTTTGTTAAAGGAAACATTTTGGAGTATATGGGCTCAGGTCAAACTTCCCTACAACACACACACACACACACACACACACACACACACACACACACTGTGACTACTTTCTGTGGTTTTGTTATCACCAAGCTGTTCTTACCCTGTCACAGTAACTGGAAAAGGAAGGATGCAAGTCATGATGTCAACATCAGACTATCTTACCCTATGTATATAGAAATAATATCCAAATTCAATTGGTTAAACTTCCCATGGACATGTAAACATGAGACTCCATTTTCATATGGCCATTCTGAGTCTCTTATTTATTTATTTGAATATTTATTTATTTATTTAATTATTTTATTTTTGAGTTTTCTTTAGAGGGGAAGAGAAGGAGAGAGGGAGAGAAATATCAATGTATAGTTGCCTCTTGTGCATCCCCTGCTGGGATCTGGCTTGCAACCCAGGCATATGTCCTGACTGGGAATCAAACCACAGTTGTTTTATTTGCAGGCCTGCACTCAATCCATTGAGCTACACCAGCCAGGGCACGAGTCCCTTATTTAAAGGATCTTAAAAAATGGGTTAAAAAGCAGAAAGGAAAATGTGCACATAGAGTAGGAAAGATCTAATCATTCGGGTGATTGCTGAATGGCTGATACGAGGCAAAAACTCCCTGGTTCTGGCAGCTTTCCAACCCCAGTTCTTTGCCTTTCACACCCACCATAATTGACAAAACAGTAAAAAGCAATTTATCAAAAAGGAAGGGGTGATATTTTACATTGTCGAGATGTCATACATATTGAACATCTCACTAGAAAAGTGACCAAAGGAAACAAACAAAATTGGCATCAGCAAATACAATGTACTATAGTGGAGGTATTTATAATGAAATAAAAACCTGTTTCTAAATGATAATATATGCTAAGCTTTGGGCATTATGTAACTGATTTTAATTTATTTACTAAATATGAGCTGTTTGAACTTGCAGGCCATCTGAACCATTCATTATATTTCTTTAATTTAATTATATTTTTCGGTACCACCTACATGGCTTTTTATGCGTTTTTTAAAAAGATGGGGTAAGATTGGTTTATGACATTAACTATTTCAGATGCACAACATAAAAATTGTTAATGAGAGCCCTGGCTGGTGTAGCTCAGTGGATTGAGCACGGGCCTGCGAACCAGACAATCGTGGTTTGATTCCCAGTTAGGGCACATGCCTGGGTTGCAGACCAGTTCCCTGCAGACCAATTCCCAGCAGGGGACACATGAAAGGCAACCACAAATTGATGTTTCTCTCCCTCTCTCCTTCCCTTCCCCTCTAAAGACAAATAAATAAAATCTAAAAAGAATTGTTAATGATATCACCTGATAGTGGGTATTGCTGCAACCATCTGCCCACTGTGGACAGATAATCAATACACTATCTGAAAGAAGCTGGGTTTAGTCCCTTCCTGTTGGTAAGTGTGGTGACCACTGGGATGAGATGAAGCTGCTTATTCTCTCTGCCTCTCAAATGTCTTCAACTGCTTCCCAACATGTTGAACCCTGACTCCACAGTCATATTTCCATTCCTTCCCATCATCTTTCCCATTTATCATGCTGGCACCCCACTAGCCAAATGCTCATGTGGACTTACAGAGAACTTTCTATGTTTCAAAGCAGACCATGGTACTCTCTGAGTTAAATGCCTCCCCTAGTGACTGCTCAGTGGAGACAGAGGCCCAAATTCTGTAGCTTCAAACATGAGGCTCAAGTCTCTGTGACCTTTCTGCCAGTTTCCCTTCATATGGCCATGCCCTCACCTACACTGATCTCCTGAACATTGGGCTTGACTCTCTGCTGCACCTGACACCACAGCCTAGGGTTTGGGGCTTTGATGTACTTGCTCTCCTTTGCTTGGAGTCTCTCCAATGGTCTCTTTGGAGCTATTCACTCACTCTCTGTCCTGCAAACTCTATCTCCCCTTTTAGAGAGCCTGGACTCTCTCCTTCATGAGCCTTTTTGGTTACCTAACATTAGCACAGGAAAAGGACACAACCTCCTAGTTGAGGTGTTACAGCACCAATGGTGTGATTTGTATTTATTTCCATGTCTTTGTTACTTGCCAGAGAGTTAGTGCCTGAAGTATGTAGTATTTTACACAAATCCCTCCTCCCCTGCCAGACTTAGTGGGGTGTAGCTGAGTACACATGTATTCCATAATGGGATGAGATATCCTAGGTGTGGAGGACATGCTGGAGGAATATTTCTCCATATTCTGAGATCAGCATAAACTAAGGTGTCAGACTATGGTTCATAAGAATGAAATACAATGAATCAAGAGGACACAAAAGAAAATATTAGAGTGTGTCATACATAGTGAGGGTACATGCAGAATTATTTCGTGGTTCCCTTTGTACTTGCATGTCGGTGTATGAGTGTTTGTGTTCGTGTGTTTCTAGGCCTGTGTGCAAAAATGCTGGATCACAGTGTAAAAGGCAAATCTTAGTTTGGGACAAATCAAAAGAATCTGGAATTCAATGCAATAAATGCAAAATAATTTAAAAGGCCAGTTCCTGATAATGAAGGAAAGCAATAAGAGTGAAGAGCCCAGCAGAGAGCCAGGTGCAGAAAAAGAGTCAGCCAGTGTGGGTGATTTTCACCTCAGACTTAAGGGACCATACACTGACCAGATTGTTACTGCTCCACTGACCTCTGGTTTAATTGTCATTCCTGCACTTCTTTCGTGGTTATTACATCACCCTTGTGTTTATTTGGCCCAGCAGTGGATGAGGCTGGCACTTCTCTCATTACCTTTGTAGCATCTTTTCTTTGGTGTTCTTGGCTTTGAGTTTTGATCTCTTTTGTGACACATCTGGTACATGCACACTAGTCCTGGTTCTGTATCTTGCCAACATGCAAAGTCTCCCATGAACAAATTTTACATATCCTGCTTATGGGACAGTTATTGATCTCTCTTCTTCACATATTTCTCCCTGAGGACATGATGTCATAGCACTTCATGGTATGGGGGTTCCTTTGTATAACGTGAGATCAAATGAGCACTTTTGTATAACGGGTGTTCATAGATTTTGTTGACTCATGTGGTATTGTAAATATGTGCTCTTATATAGAAAAAAGTTAAAGTATGAAATATTCATAATATTAAAAATGGATTCTCATAATGGTATTAATAAAATGTAATAAAATTGTAAAAATAATTGAAAAGACAAAGCTGTAAAATACAATAATTTAATCACATCAAATGAATATTAATTGAAAGGAAAAGAACTGCTTTGCCAAGCAAGGTTAAAGAAGATGTAGGATTTCTACTTTAAAAAGTAAGGGGAGGAGATACAACGTGAAAGAATGACCACACAAAATTAATACGTTTTCATACATTTTCCTAAATCATCTATACCTACATAAAGGAATTCTATGCCAAGTATCAATGTTTTAGGAAAAAATACTCTAATTTAATATGTAAAACTATTATATATTCATTAGTCTACCTAGCAAGCAGATATGGTAATCTCTTGGCTCTGAGCTAGCCTAGTTATTTTCTCACCTTATTGCTGGTAGAAATTCTAAGATTCATTCTCTTTGGATCTTCTCTGCACCATCTGCTGCACTCTGAGACTTACGTGGACAGTGTCTCTGAAAGGAAGGGCTCCTTGTAGAAGTTCGAATCCCCCCTGCATGACTAATGTTGGAAACTGAAGCTCTGTCCTCAGACAAAAGAGCAGGAAGAAGTCAAACATTGGTCTCTGGACCAGAGTTAGGTCTCCTGAACAAACAAGTATGTTCTGTCCATCCTAAAATGCCCGTGTTGAGTCTGCCACAGAGGAGATATTTACCTATCCTTTCATCTGCTCATTAGATACTCTTTCCCTGTTACTTATTCCTCTGAGCACCTCATTTCCCTTTGGGACACTTGTCTGGACTGCATGGAAATTTGCCCACTGCTTCTCTCTTTCTAAGGGATTAGACTTGAAGT